TGGATAGCTGAAGATGGCATACGATTAATAAGATAGCAAGATGTAAGAACTGCATCCCCCAAAAAACGCAACGGAGCATGAGATTGTATGAGTAGGGCTTGAGCAGTTTCAATAAGATGTCTATTCTTTCTTTCAGCTACCCCCATTTTGTTGAGATGTGTACGGACAAGATGTTTGATGAATAATCCCATGAGATTTCATAAACTGCTGAAATGGGGAAGACAAATACTCACGGGCATTATCACTACGAAATGTGCGAATAGAAACCCCAAATTGATTTTGAATTTCAGCGTATTTCAGCGTAAAAGGTCTGGAAAATAGAAAACAACTCAGATCGATTTTTTATCAAAAATATCCAGGTGCACCGAGAATAGTCATCAATGAAACTGACAAAGTAGCGGAATCCTAATGTAGAACTGACCCGACTAGGACCCCAAACATCTGAATGGACTAAAGTAAAAGGTGACTCTGCTCGATTATTAATACGTCGAGGGAAATGAGAGCGAGTATGCTTACTGAGCTGACATGACTCAAACTCTAGAGCTGACAAGTGAGATAAACCAGGTACCATTTTCTGAAGTTTTGACAAACTGGGATGTCCCAACCGTTTATGTAATAAAGCTGGTGAATCAATAACAGGACAAGTTGGTAATGGAAGACAAGATGTGAGTCCATGTGATTTAGCAAGGATAAGGTAATAAAATTCATTTGATTCACGCCCAGTACCAATGATCCTCCTTGTACTGCGTTCTTGTATAAAAACATGATCATCAAGAAATAAAACGGCACATTTAAGTGATTTGGCTAGGCGACTAACAGCTATGAGATTAAAAGGACTATTAGGGACATAAAAAACTGAATCTAAAGATAAGGGAGGAATTGGGCTTGCTTGACCTATTGCAGTTGCCATGGTTTGAGACTCATTGGCCATTGTGACTCTTGGAAGAGATTGAGAATATGAAATAGTAGTGAAAAGAGATTTGTTACCTAAAATATGATCCGATGCACCTGAATCAATGACCCAAGACTCAAAGGATGAAGATTGAGAGACACAAGTCACGTTATTACCTATTTGAACAACGGAAGCTATCTCAGAAGATGTCTGGTTACCTGCTTTGTACTGAAGAAACTCAAAATAATCTGCTAAAGAAACCATCCGACTATTCGAAGTATCGGTTCCTATGTCGCTACAATTAACAGTAGTAGGGTTAACTTGAAATAGTGGAAATTAGTAACTCCTTTGGGAAAACTGAAGAAATCGTTAAGAAAACACTGTTTCTGCGCCGGAAACTTAACATTGTTCTGCGTGGAAAACACTGTTCACGCCAGAAATACTGTAGCAGCCGGAAAAAATTCAAAGTGGTCGGAATAAAATAAAAACAGTAGGGGTAGGATCCGAATTACCAGATGACCCAACTGTTCTGAAGAACTTTTTCAAAAAATGGCCGGCAGTCCACTTCTGAAATCACTGTTCACGTCAGAAAAATATAAAAGTGATCGGAATTTGGTGTAACCTGGATGGGTAGGCTCGGAATTGCAAGGGGAACAATCTATCCTGAAGAGTCGTCGCCAAAAAATGGCCGCAAGGTAGCCCATGCGACGTCGGAACTTCGCCGGAAAAGTTTCTTCCGACAGCTAAAGTACCGCCGGAGATTTTCACTGGGGTTTGGTCACGGGGCAGTGACTACTCTTGTGGTAGTGTTGGATTTTGCACAACACTGACCGAGACAAAGCAGACGCAAAACAACGAAAAAAATCGCCGGAAAAAAGGGTTCCGGTGACTGATTTCACTTCCCGGAATCGCTGGAATTTATGCACAGCGATAAATCTCTCACGATAGCTCTGATACCATGTGAGAAGGCACGGGAGAAAATATGATATATTGAGAAAATATGATATATTGAGAAAATATGATATATTGATATTGTGTTCAATACAATACAAGAGGTCCTTATTTATAGCTATACTAAGAGGTCTTACAACTACTCTTATTCCAATGAGGGACAAGACTACATTATGTACATATCTAACAATAGCTATAGTCTACAAAGTACATATTACTCTCATTCCAATGTGGGAACACACATAACTAACACCTTACATGAGATTCCATCAGTCAAAAATTGCTCTCTTGAATGCACTTGAGCAAGAATTTTGTTTGTCATCGGTGCAATGATTCAAATGTAAGTTTCAACTCTCATCATTCAAAAAGAAAAACTTTTTAAATTATCAATACATTAATTGAGTTTTAAACTGTTTTCGACTGAGATTCAGGTGGAAACTAAAACATGCAGCATCCTCCACTAAATCCTTACTTTTGTGATTTCAGAAAGACTAGCATTTCAAGCTCGCAGTTTTATTTTGGAAAAAGGAGTTCTTGTATCCACAATGAACTAAAATTTATCAACAGTCACATTGGAAGATGCAAAGCAGTAACTGCTAACCATATTTTCAAATCAAAAGTTCTACAATGCAACCTTTAGTTCTGTTAACGAACTTTAACATGGAGTACACGTGGCAGAAAACAAAAGCCAGAACATTGCTCACCTTTGCAGCCTCCTATATGCAGAATTTGAAGTTTGTAAGCTAATGAATTGGTGTTCTTTTCCATTTTCATTGCCACACCGTCAAATCTGGAGATATCGCGACAAAGTGACAGAACACAATTGTGTGCAAAGAAAGTATCACAAGCGAAGATTGAATGTAGGCCAACACATTTCAGCAATATAACGGATATTCCAGAATCCGTTATGGAAGTACACACATTGAGGTTAATACAACACAAGGAAGGGCAGCACTCTGCAATATTGTGGAGATCCGAATCTGGAGAATATCAAAGAGAAGCAATGTTAGGTCAATGCAGAGAGCATCATACTATTAAGAGTACACATGAAAGCTGAATTTGCAATAAGCATTTTCTAACAGCTTGAGAAGAGTACAGACGAGATTCCAAGACTACATATAGATGAGATCCCCAAACTATGTATATGCATGAGAAAATGGAAGTGGTCTCACTTACAAAACACAACATAAAAGCTAAAAACAGTATTCACATTACATAGCTAGAATTTTGGAAAAAGCAAAGGAACCACACAACATAAATCAATCCTTTGGGTACCAGCAGCAGTAGTTCTGTTTCATACTGTTCTTTTCTTTTAGTCTTTTGAGTCTGGTTGTTCAATGCCGTAGGAGTGGCAAACATGTGGGTCGGGTCGGATATGGTTCGGGTTGAAAACGGGTAATGAAAAAACGGGTAAATTATCCGACCCGGCCCATATTTAATACGGATAAAAAACGGGTTAACCGGCGGATAATATGGTTCCCATATTATCCATGACTTCTTACATATAATCACTTTTGGGAGAATTCTTAGTCTCCTTAACTTGAGGAACTCCCAATTTGAGGCTTTACAAATATAAAAGTTAGACCCATTGGTTATCCATTTTCTAAATGGATAATATGGTTCTTATCCATATTTGACCCGTTTTTAAATAGTTCATTATTCAACCCATTTTTAATGGATAATATAGGCGGTTAACTATTTTCTTTGAACCATTTTGTCACCCCTATTCAATGGTATAGATTGCATGATTTTGTAGTGTTCCTCCCTTCCCCTTCAGGATATAAGCTATCTGAGACATCAAGTAATATTTTAAATAGCAAAACGGAAAAAAAGACATCAAGTATTAATTTTGGGGCATCCTCCCTAGCATTCTTTTCTTAACCAAAAAATGCTTTAAGGCTCATACCCTTTCACCAAGAATCAAGTACAGCAGGAAAAATACTAGTCTCTTTGAAAAGTTTCATCTTAAGGGCCAGAAACTAATAAACGATTTCTCGGAATGAGACTTTTCCTTTTCTTTGGTAGTGGGAAGGTGTTTTAGACTACAAATATCATACCATAAATATCTGTTCGACCCTCCAATATGAGATTTGTAATATTTGAGAGCCGCCTAGAAAAATGAAACGTTGGTACAGCAGGGCATGTCTCTTCATTGGAAGATGTTGATATCTGCAGCTTTACAACAGGGAATGAAGATATAACTGACACCTTTGCTGGTATCACAGGATTACTTTCCACTGTTAGATCGATGTTTGAGAGTAGTGGGCATCTCTGTAACAATTGGTACAACTTCATTGTTCTGAAGTTCGAAGTATAAGCTGCTTTCAATGTTGTTAGGGATGGAAATGACTTGGAAAAGCACTCAATGGCAGCCTCAAGATGTAGCATCGGACAATTTGAAACGTCCACCACTTCCACTGCTTCAAAAGTCAAAACAGGAAAAGTTTCCCACGGAATCCGAGATACATCCATATTAAAGCGCTCAAGTTTGAGGGGCAGCTGATTAAGCTTCTTTGTCAGCATTGTGTCCACACTATAGGAAAAAGGAAGCATGGACAGGAGAAGAAGAGGCAGGCTAATTTGTGGGCAGCCGGAAAGGTCCAATATCTACAGAGGAGATTCAGGAAAAAAAGAATTTCTTTTTAGATTGGTAACAGTAAATTCAGAAAAGGAAAAAAAAAAGAAACCAAGCAATGAAAATGGTTGTAAGTGTTAATTACATTATATGAAATTTCACAACTACATTTCCAGTAAAAGAGGTAAACTTCAAAAATATATCTTCACTTTGACACTGTTAAGTAATATTGTATATCAAGCAAGCAAGCATGTTCTTGATGATGTTTGATGTGTTAAATCTTTTAGTTTCCAACAAGTGATTAAAGGGAGAAAGTTACATTTAGAAATCATCCCCAAAGTTCTAGCAAGTTCAATTCTTGGAAAGTCTCCAAGAACAGATATGATGAAGTGAAAACTATAAGCAGAATCATTTCCCATTTCAATTATTAGCATAATACCATCAGAGTGAGTGAAGAAACAACGGCAAAAAAGTTAAGCTATCATAATGAAGAAACTCCACCTCTCAATATGTCTAGGTTTAGATTAAATTATAAATACTCCTTGATTTTCTTTTTCTTTTGTTTTCCTTTTGCTTCTAGATAATAACAACACCTTAAAAAATGCATTTAAATTTTTTTTGGTGAAATGACTTTCATAATTAAGTGGTCAGACTTGCCACTTTAGTCCCAAGACTTCAAGCATTCTAAAGGGATAAAGAAGAAAACCATGAGGTGTTACACTGATTATATTGTTCTGCCAACTAAAATAGAAAATGAAAGCCAAAATCCACAAGAACTGAAAGGTGCTGCTAAATGTAAACCTTAGTACATTCAGTCAAGCGGATTCTGAGCTGACTAAAGTCACCACCTCCAAGAATGTTTGCTAAGCTAAAGGAAGAGGAGGTCGCTAAACTAAGAATAGCATCCACGCTTCTTTCTGCAAACTTTGAGAAGAGGGGGCATCTCCGTTTCCCTGAAATGACAAAAAAAAAAAAAAAA